TAGAACTTGACATTGTGGTCAATTTTCGAGTTAAAGATTTTTTTGAAAATTCCGAAAAATTCATTTTTATTTTTTAAAGTTTGTAAAACAACGAGTTGTTGTTTATATGCAGCGAAACTTCATGGAGATGAATTTTTACTTAATAAGCAAATGCGGTTAGGTTAATAAAATTTTTATTTTTTTTTCATGTTTCTTTTGTTCAATTATTTCTGATGATCTGCAAGTGTCCTTATATTTATGACCAGTGAGTGTATGTTCAGTTATATCCCAAAAAACTTTAAAAACATATAGGGATAAAAGGAGAACATAAGTGTATGTCGTTTTATGTTGAAATGATTTTAAAACAACTTACAAATTTCATGATTTTCTTATTTAGTAATCTTTATAATTATGTATATATATATATAGCACAGTATTTAAGATTTAAATTTTTTTTCAAATTCTTCTTCGATTTTTTTGAGATTGGTTCGAAGTTTCTTTATTTGATTGTGTTTGTGAGTAATAACGTTTTCCAGCACTATTGTCATTACCCTTAACAGTTAAGGATGTTGTTGATGATGGTGTTGATGTGGATATTGTTGAAATTGAGGCTGATTCTATTGCCTTACTTGTTGAATTTTTAACCATGGATGATATTAACTGTTGAAATAAATGAAGAAAAATTAATAATTTATAGATGCATATAATTTTTACATTTTAATATATTTAGAAAACTTTACAGTTTGTTCAGTTTGTTGAGGTTGATGATATGTTGAAAATAAATTTTGGTCGTAATGTTCATAATGTGTTTGTGATGGATATCCAACTCCCGGTATTGGTGGTTCAGTGCTAAAATTAAAATTATAATTAAAATAAGAATTTTTTTTTTGTTTTCTTGTAAGGAAAAAAAATATCGTTTGAATTTTTGAATTGTTAACCTGTAATATTGATGATAATTATAGGAAGTTCCGTGGATATCATAATTAGTGGTATTATAAGCAAATGATTTTGGTGAGGGTAAAGATGGTGGTGTAACAGTAGACATTTGGCTTGGTTGGAAACTTGCTTTGCCTGAGACTTTTGATTCATTGCCTTTTTTTATATCTAAACAAATTAAAAAATAATTTATTTTATTAAATAATTTGAATGTTATTTTTCAATAAAAGAATTATTTTTAAAAATTACTTTGTTTATATTGAAAATTTTTTTTTTGAGTTTTAATAGCAATAACTTGACATCTTTCTTGCAGTTTTTCACGTGTATCTTCTACTGATTCATACTCTGGTGCATATCTCACTTTCAAAGGACTATTGAAAAAAATATGTTCATTAACCTTTCTTTTTGCAGCTCTAAATTTATAAATAATTAACTTTTTAAAACTAGAAGGTGATATTAGAAATTAATAATAATATAAAAATTTTATTATTACCTTGCCTCAGGCAAAGAAGCAAATTTTACCCATAATACTTCTGTAAATTCTTCACATGGATAATCATGTAAAATTTGATGTCTAAATATTATTATTTATGAATCATGATCATGACTGATTATTTGGGTTTTTTAAAATACGTATATATATTATATAACTTTACAATTCAATCGTCCCATATAGCTCAAGTAGCTTGATCAATTCTTTTATCACATTTATTTCTGGTATATTTTCTATAATCAAGTATCTATTAAAAAAAAGAACCCCTTCTTTAAAAACTATAATTATTTTTTTTTTGTAGCAAATAACATTGTTTATAAGTGTTTTTTAGCTTTACTTGGATTCTTTGTTAATTGTATAAACTTTGACGGCAGTTGGTTTACGACCTGATCTGTAACTTGGTCTTTCTGGCAAGCCTATAATATTTGAGTGAAATTGTCTAATTATTTAAAAAGATTATAAACTTATCAAATATGTATAAAGAGATATTCTACCTTCGTTCATTTAAAAAAATGAAAATTTTTTAACTGGTAGTACAATTGTATTGGCAAGCTTTTGTTGACAAAATTTTAATAACATTTACACAGTGTATCTTGATTTAGCGGATATGTTCGTTCCAAAAAAATTATCCGCTAAATCGAGATATCCGCAAAACAAGATATTATTATTTGCGAATTAACATTTAATAGGCAAAATGACCGGTATTGAACAAGCTAATTTTTCAGAAATTAAAGAAACCTGCTAGGAAAATGTAGAGGAAAAAAGGAACTCTGAAAACAACCCCAGGCTTATCTAATATTAATTATGCCAATTATTCTATCTGGTAATTAAAAACTTATTATGGAACAAGAAACAAAATAAAACAAATGGAATTGCAAAATTTGCCAAATTTTGAACCCTGAAAATTCTTTGTGACATAATGTTCACCTTGTTGGGTTTTGTTCGTCCCATATTTGAAATTTCCTGATTTTTTTTACAAATCGTAATAATATGGCAGATTTAACCAACTGCGCATCCATTGTTGCTACTGTAGAATCTCTTACTAATAATGAAAAAGTTAAAACTTCACGTACTACTCCTCGTGACATTAGTGAAGTTGGTTGGATATTTGTTCAAGAATATTACACCTTTTTACATAAAGAACCCAATCGACTTCATTGTTTTTACGGTCAAGCTTCTCATTTTATTCATGGAAGTGAGGGTGAACAAGTAAGAACTCTGATTGGTGAAAAGGTTGGTGTTTAATTAATACTTAAATATACCATATATTTATAAAACTTGTTACGATTTAGTTTATGTACATATTTATATATTTACATTTGAATTAAAAATTGAGATTCTTCTTTAATAATATTTAATGTTATAATTCTAACATAAAGAAGATGAACATGTCGAATAATTTTTTAAGGAATACACAAATATTAATAAACATTTCTTTTCATAAATAACAGGAAATCAACGAGAAAATTAAATCATTAAATTTTAATAATTGTAAGGTTGCTGTGACAAATGTCGATTGTCAAGCTTCAAAAGATGATGGAATTCTTATTCAAGTCTTGGGATTGATGAGTAATCATGATGAGCCACCTAGAAAATTTGCTCAGACATTTTTCCTTGCAACACAACCCAATGGATATTATGTTTTAAATGATATTATTAGATTCTTAAATGATGATGACGAAGAGGATGAGAACAGCGAATTTGATAAAGATGCAGTTGATGAAATTGTAAACAATGATAATGATAATATTTGTTTAGATGTTAAAACTTCTGCTTCACAAAAACTCGCCAAAGATGATGATTCTTATTCAGCATCTCCCACAGAAACTTTGGTCAACGAACATATCATCGCCAATATTAAAACTAACGGCTCAGAGCATATTAATAATAAACTCAATGTCTCTGAAGATTCTACCAGTATTAAATCTAATATCTCAAAAGAACTTGTTAATATTAAACCTAATGCCTTGGAAGAGCCTATCAATAAAACTAATGTCTCTGAAGAATCTATTGCCATCACTACTACTCATAAAGGTACTCTTGATTCTATCACTGAAGGATCTGCCATTGCCTCCATTTCTGTCACTAAAAAATCAGAAATTACTCATTCTAATACTAATTCTCCTGTTGGTACATCACCACCATCTGTTACTACAAATGTTACCAAATCAGTAGCAGGAACTTTAGCTGATCAAATTAATCATACTAATTTGCAAACTAATCTCAACAATCAAGATGTTAATTCTCTTGTTGCACATCCTTCAACGACACCTTCATCCGTTGTAATAAATGGTAATTCTACATCAGAAAAAAATCACATTGTTAATCAAGAAAATGTCGCCCAACCTAACAATAATAACAATCAATTATCAGTAGCAGAAACTCCAGTTGATCAAATTAATCTTATCGGCACCACCAATAATCAAGTTTCTAAATCACCTGTCGTAAAACCTTCAACATCGCCGCCTGTTGTCACAAATGGTCATTTAGCAACAGTAGAACAACATGTTAATCATCCATTTACTATCACCAAATCAATTACTAAACCTCAAACTTCTCCTACACTCGATATTGCTCAAAGAGATAATAAATTGTTACCACAACAAAAATCTCAAAAACTACAACAACCGTTCATCAAAAAACAACCCTCGCCTGTTATAAATGATCATCAAGCTGTCTCTCCAAATCGGAAATCTGCTCAAACTCAAGATTATTCATTAATAAATGCTAAAACAACTTCTTCTATTCAACAAAAGCCTAATAAGGGTCAAACCATCACTCAAATTACAGCTGAAATTCCTGTTCAATTTAATAATGACGAACAAACAACTGCTTCTAATGCCAACGATAATAATGTTCAAAATGAACCTGTTACATCAGAAAAAAAAATCAGTACAGAAACTGCTGCTTCTGCTAGTAGTAAAAAAAATAACAATATACAGATTGAACAACCTGTCCAAGCTGCTACTGACAAAACTGATAATCATAATCACAACAATAATGACAATAATATCAAATCATTAAATTTAACAGAAACCATAAAAAATAACATACAACAACAACAATCAACCTCCCCCCCAGTCAAAAAAACGTGGGCACGTTTAGCCGCCAACGATCTCGATAAATGGAAAAATGATGCTTTAGCTGACACTAAGGGACACGTGACAATTATTTCTGCACCCACCTCTAAACCTCAAAGAAAATCAGTGCCACATCAACATCAAAAATATGATAATCATGATAATAATAGAGAAAGCAGAGATAATGGTAATGACAATGACAATAATCATGAACATCGTCACCAAGATGGAAAAAGAAATGGTTTCCGTCGTGTTAGCGGTTAGCAAAATATAATAATAATAATAATAATAGTTTTTATTTTTGGTTTTTTTATTTCATATAAACATCTAACCAATATGTTATGTGATCATTTAATGAATAAAAATATTAGATACAGCACTTTCAATTTATGTTAGAGGTGTTAAAACTGGAATGAATTATGATTTATTGAAGGGTAAATTTTCAAGTTTTGGTGGTGTCAAACATCTTGATGTTGTTCCTACAAGAGTAAGTAATATATTTGGTTTTTTTTTTATAATTATTATTATATTATTATATTATTATCATTGATCAATCAACCCAGTTACTAACTAACCTTTATAAAAAAATTAAATAGAATTGTGCATTCGTAGAATTTTTTTCAACGGAAGCGTACCGGCTTGCTCTCAATGCTAAATCAATTGAAGTGAATAAAACCACTCTTTACATTGAGGAACGGCGACCATCTCGACGTAATAATTACAATAACAACAACAATAGCAGCAACAGCAACAATGAAAACAGCAACAACAATAGCAGCAACAACAATAACAATAACAATAACAATAACAATAACAATAACAATAACAATAGCAACAACAGCATCAACAATAATAAAAGTGGTCAATATAATAGAAATTATTAATTATGTTGTTTATATATAGATTGCATATTGAAAAATTAAAGATTTTTTTTTAATTTTGTATATATTCAAAAAAAAATTTTTTAATAATAATAGTTAATAATATATAGAAAATAAAAAAAATTTATTTTAAAACTAAATTAAGAGAATCATCATATTTATTATCATTTTGATACTGTTCACTAGCAATAAAATGGTTGGGGAAAATAAACAATTTTAAATTAGTCGTGTTGGCATATTGATTGGAAATATAAAAAGTGCAAAGCCCTAAAAATAATGTCATAAGAAGATTTATTATATAACCTATATAATTAAATATTTGCTTCATTTAACTTAGACATATAAATAAACAAACAGGTTGAATTAAGTGTTTCAAACTATGATAAATGGAACAATAACGTTGAAATTTTATTTCCTCAAATATAAGTTTTTTTTACATTTGACAGTTTTCTTATAGTAAATAATTCATCCATATATTGGATTGAATATTTTTATTATTTTGAGAAAAAACATTAATTAAACTTAAGATTTATTCATATTATTTATCATCAGGTTAATTCTTGATTTAACGATTAGTTCAAGAATCAACTCGTATACAAAATCTGAAGCTAAAGCATGATATCATGATATATAAAAGATAAATTTAAAAGGCAATCGTCACATATTTGTCTTTGCCCGCAAAACATTGTAGAGCAAAAAATAATAGATAGTATTTATTTGCATTTTCGCATATATTAACTGTTATAGTTTTTTCCGGTGTACTCTACCATTTTCCATTTTGTTTTTTGAAACGTCGTATATATAATGTTTTCTTCTTTCACCTCCTTTTTTGGTCCACTACTGCCGAGAGATAAATAATACAATTACAAAATCGTCATTATTCTTACAATTTCCTTGGTGTATTACCCAGCTGCTAAATTACATTCACTAGACATCTTTGCTATTAATAATAATCCTCTGCTTAATGGTAATCCCGCCTCCTTTAATCCTAATACCTAATAATTTGTAATATTTGCTCGTTCTACTATTTTACAAATTCCTTAGAATATTGTTATTTCCTATACATTTGCTATAATATATCATTTAATTCTAATTCTCAAAAGATTAAATTCATAAAACTATCACCAACACATTCATTTATTAACTCATTACTTTTATTCGCTCACTTTCAAACAACAAATATATGGTCCAACTTTATCAACCATCTCAAGAAACTGTTTTCTTACCCTCTATTTGTTCTATTTATGCTTCAATAATTTTCATACGAAATTTTAAAGTTTTATTTACTATGACTAATACACTACATGGCCAAAAGCATAGCCATAAATCGCACAAAATCCTGCAAACAGTGTTGGCAATTGGACTGGAACAACATTGGACAATCCAGACCTCAATTAACTTTTACTATTATTAAATTTGTTAAAAAAAGTTATAATACACTATTTCCATTCATTGTTTTATTAAAAATGGGAAAGCATTGTTTAACAGAATACACAATTGGTTTTAAATGAAATAGCCAACTCTTGTAATAAGTTTGCTATCT